GCGCTGGGCGTCTACCGCACGCTCTATCTCTTCAACTGGATTTGGCGCTACCACTTCGAGGGCTTCTTCGACCTCATCGCCATCGTGGCGGGCCTGGTCCAGACGGTCCTCTACTGCGATTTCTTCTACCTCTATATCACCAAAGGTAGCTGGCATGGGGGGCTGACTGGAAGGGATCCTGCTCCCTCTCCAGCTCCTCAGCCTCTCTCGGAATCTGTCCTAAGCCCTCTTCCTGCCCTGAGGTTCCAGATCCATAGTGTTTCAGTCTCACACCCATAAAAAATCCAGAATCCCCATCTCCTCTGCGCCAGCTCAGAGAAGGGAGGGTCTCCTCTCTGTTCATTGGTCTCTGTCCTCACCTTCGGGGACTGGGGCCCATTCATTCATTCATTCATTCAACCAGCAAATATTGAGTACTTTCTGTGCCCCTGGCCAGGTGCTAGGCTCTGGGGACGCAGCAATAGGAAAAAAGATGGACACGGCCCTCCTCTCCCCTTATATTTATATTCTACTGGGGGGAGATGGCGATTGACAAGTAAAGACAGATGATGGCAAATAGTGAGAAGGGCTATGACAGAAAGAAGCCAGGGGTGTGTTAGTGAACAACTGTGGAGGGGGCTCCTCTGCATGGGGGCTCGCCAGAGGGGCCTCTTTGAGGAGATGATGATTAAAGCAGGGACATGAGAGATTAGGAGTCAGTCAGTGTGAAGGAAAGAGGGGAGAGAAGGGCAGAGACCTGGAGGCAGCCCAAAGCCCTTCAGGATTGAGGCTGGGAGGGTGGGAGGGGGTGGTCTTGCCTGGAGCCCTGCCAGACCTCTCTGACCCCAGTGCCCCCCAAGATCCAAGGCCTCTAGCCTGAGAGTCCTTCAGGGTGGGAGAGGAGCAGCCAGCACTGGAAGAAATGGGGCCTCGTGCCTCCTTTGCTCAGCCCCTAGGACGAGACTAGGGTCCCCCAGCCCCACCCCATAGTAATTCAGGCTGATCCCCACAGTTGATAATCCGGGGTCCTGGGGCCAACCTTCCTTGCATCTCTGCCCAGCCCAGCGGCCAAGCCCCTGCTCTGGGGGTGGGAAGCCCTCCCCTCCGCAGGGGCCCCATGGTGATGCCTGCCCCCTCTCTCTCCTCCCAGTCCTGAAGGGGAAGAAGCTTAGTTTGCCGGCGTAACCCTGGTTCTCGCCACCCCTCTCCTCGGCAGCGGCGAGAGGCAGAGGAAGGTGACAAAAGACGAAGAAGCTTCCCGTCCAGGGGTGACTTTTTTAAGAACCAACCTCTCCCCGCTCCCCATCCCCCCTCCTGCCGGGTTTCAGGGGGGCGGTGGAGGACCCACGTCTTGGGGAGTTCAGGACCTGGGCTGTTTGTAGTTTTTTGCCTTTTAGAGAAGAAAAAAAAAATCTTTCCACTGTTTAGTTTTTGATTCTGATGCCTCCTTTCTCTTCTACTCTCTGGCCCCGATTTTTATAAACTGTTTTTGGTGTCCTGTGGGGTGGGGCAGGGTCGGAGGTGTTTTCCCTCCCCCAAGTCCCTCGGCTCCCTTCTAGATCGTTCTCCCAGCCCCACTGGTTGCCAAACACTAAATCTGCCGACACCCGCCTGCCCGGCCTCCCACCATGGCCGTGAACACGGTCCCCGCACCCCAAACTTCTGGGTTAGGGAGAGGGAGGAGGGGAGAGAAGGTCTCCCCTGATTTTTCACAATAATTTTTTTCCAGAGTTTCGGGTTTTTGGTCTTGTCCTCATTTTTTTGGCAATTTAGGGGGGCAAGTGGCCGGGCATGGGAAGGGGGCTGGCCCGAGGGTCACCATGACTCTACTGCCGTGTTTTTGTACAGAATTGATGGTTGATTCTTTGTTCTCTTGAAATAAACTGAGGAAAATGATGCCTCCCTTTCGCTACTCCTTGCCCTCTCTCCTTGGCGTTTGTGGGGTCCTGCCCGGCGCCTCTCTCTGCTTTTCTGCTTTACCCCATTGACTGTCCGCAGGCGACCAGAGGTCTGAGAGGAACAGGAAGATGAGAAACTGGGTCTCCTGAGACTCTCAGCTCTACCCTGACCCCTCACAGCTCCACTGGAGAAGAGGTTTTGGAAAAAAAAAATCTCGAAGATTCTTATCTTGGCGCCACACTTCCTTGACAGTTCTCCCAACCCACAGGGTTGCAGAGGACCTTCAAGAGTGTGTGTTTTGGGGGCTGGCCCCGTGGTGTAGTGGTTAAAGTTCGGCACGCTCCGCTTCCGCGGCCCGGGTTCGCGGGTTTGGATCCCAGGCGCAGACCTACGCCACTCGTCAGCCATGCTGTGGCAGCGACCCACGTACAAAATAGAGGAAGATGGGCACAGATGTTAGCTCAGGGCTAATCTTCCTCAAGCAAAAAAAAGAGGAAGATTGGCAACAGATGTTAGCTCAAGGCCAGTCTTGCTCAGGGGAAAAAAAAAAAAAAAGTGTGTTTTGGAGGTCACCAGTGGGCAGCCCCTGTCACACTCTCATTTGGCATTTAGTTGCTCCACTCCGTTTTCTTAAAAAAAAAAAAAAATGGGTTGCCAGCCTTTGAAAACCAGATTTTCACATTAAAATCTGAATTTCTGGCTTCTCTTGAAAAAAAATCCATCAATCTGACAAAGCCGGGTCCTCATTTCTGGGTGGCAGCAGATGGCTGGAGCTGAATGGGTGGGATGCGAGCTTTCCCCACGGTCCCCAGGACTTGGCTAAGGGGTTGTTCCCATTTATTCCTGGGCTGACACTGTTGTTTTTGGTTTTTGTTTTGTGGAGTTAAAAGAAAAGTGGGATATTTTCCACGTCTCCCTCCAGGTTGGCCTCCCAGCTGGCCCATTTCTTCCTCTTGCGTTACCTCCCTGGCCCTTGTAAGCTCCTGGAGTTTTGAGCCCTGATTTACAGTCCCTAAGACCCTCCTTAACCGCCTCCAGTTCTCCTGTTGGACGGCGCTGGAAGCTTCGGGAGGCAGGTAGCTGGCGTTTACTGAGCGTTTCATAAGTACCAGGCGATGTATGTTGCATGGATGAGCCCACTGGATGCTCACGGCACCCCTCAAGAGGGGACACTTTGCAGAGGAGGAAACAGGCTTAGAGGGGTGAGTGGTAGAGGTGGGGTTTGTACTCCAACTTCCTGACCCTGGAGCCTGTGTGTTTAACCACCACACTGGGGTTTTTTTAACTGTTTTTTCTTTCTTTGAAGCCAAGGGACCTTGTGGTTAGAGGAATTTTGTCCAGAAGCCTCATATGGAAACGCAGGAGCAGGGCTGCTTGGGGTGATGTGGGTTGGGAGGTGGCCCCTCTTTGAACGCAGTCTGAAAACCATCAATCACAATCTGGTCCGAGTCTGTAGTTTTACAGCCAACACAACTCGGGCCCAGAGAAATTAAGTGACACGTCCCAGGTTATCCAGCTGGCAACAGGGTGAGGACGACAGCTTGGAGTCCTCCCATTTCCCACGCCAGGACGCTGCCCTCTCCACTCCACTGCTGCCCTTTTCTCCCGATGCCCACAGGGGCCGTGTCCTGTTTATTTCTGTGGCCCCAGAACTGAGCACTGGGCCCGCCACATGGGATGCCTCAAAAAGGGGACCATGGAACCCACATTTGACTCCCCACAACTTGTACCCCTTTGTCCGGTTTGTAAACGAATGCTCTGCAGGCCCCTGTTTTGTTCGGCCTGCATAACATTAAATTTTTTTCTCATTCGTTGCCAACTAATTCCAGAAACAGATGTCTGATTGTTCTAGAAGAGCCAGAAGGTGCTAGAGCTGCACTGTCCAGTATGGTAGCCATTAGCTACATGTGACCATTAGCTACATGTGACCATTAGCACTTGAGATGTGGTGAGTCCCAATTGAGATGTGCTGTCAGTGTAGAATACATAATGGATTTTGAAAACTTAGTACGAAAGGATGTAAGATACCTCATTAATTTTTATATGGATGACATGTTGAAATGAACATATTTTGGATATGTTGGATTAAATAAAATATACGAAAATTAATTTCACTTGTTTTGTTCTATTTTTCTTTCTCTTTTTGCTGAAGAAGATTAGCCCTGAGCTCACATCTGTTGCCAATCTTCCTCTATTTTATACGTGGGTCGCCACCACAGCATGGCTGACAATGGTGTAGGTCCATGCCTGTGATCCGAACCCCCGAACCTGGGCCACTGAAGTGGACCATGCCAAACTTAACCACTAGGCCACAGGGCTGGCCCCTGGTTCTGTTTCTCTTAATGTGGCTACTAGACAATTTAAAATCTTGCCCCCTGTGGCTCGCATTATATTTCAGTTGGACAGTGCTGGTCTAGATACCCCAGGCCCATGGTGCTGGATGCTAGGTGCTGAGTGAAGGCAGGCCCTCCTGGACACAGCCCCCGTCCCCATCACCCCCTTAGTGGGCGCTTCACCCACTGGGGTTACCTGCTTGGCCCTGAAAGGCAGGAGCGTTCTATGGCCTGTGCACAAGTCCCCGATTACCTTCAGGGTTCTAGAATAAAATCCCTCTCTTCCCCAAGACAGTCTTTAAATATTTGAAGGCAAGGATTTCCCCTGATCTCATTCATGGACTTGCATCCCCTGTTCCTTCAACGACTCCTCACAGGGCATGGTTTTGAGTTGGGTGCCTTGTCACTGGGGTGAGGGAAGGGCGTGGGCTTTGGCGTCAGCGACAGGGCGGGTCCCAGTGTCGGCCTCAGTTCTTAGTGCTGTCTCCATGGGCAGAAGCATTTTCTCTCCCTGAACTCAAGCTTCCTCAGCTGTACAATGGGGCGCCTCGTGCCTCCCTCCTGTGGCCAGTGTGACGAGTAAAGAGCTCTGCGTGTGACAGGCCTGAAAGAAGGGCTCCCTTGTCACCACCTCTAATCTGCCACTATCGCGATGGTACCCAGATGGAGAGTCCAGGAGGCGGCATGGAAATGTCACCCACTGCAGAGACCCCCGAGGTGACCTTGAAGGATTTCTCCCTGCCCCCGGCCACTGACGGGACCAGAGTGGAACAGACGTGAGGACAGAGGGCTGTTTCAGAAGCCCTTCGGGAGGGAGGATTCTCTTTACTGCTGTGGAGGATGCCTAGTTGTCGGGCATCATAGCGAGGCGAGGGGCCTTCGGAGTGGTCAGGTAGGGGGACGGGGTCGAGCTGGCGTAACTCAGGTTGTTGGGGCCGGTGGCGGGCGTGCTGACGGGGCTGGCGGCCAAGGGCGGGGAGAGGGAGGTCAGCACCACGCCCCCCTCATCCAGGGAGCGCTTGTAGGGGACGGGAGTGTCATGTTGGAGGTCCTGGAGGGCCAGGTAGGCCTGGAATATCTGTGGGCAGAGAAGGGCATGCTGAGGGCTGGATTGGGCTGGCAGGGGAGGAGAGGGGCCAGGCTGGGGACTGGCCTGGGATGGAGCTGCGGGTATGGCTGTGCCCCCTGCTCACTGGACACGGGCTCCCGGCACAGTCCCTAATGCTGGGCCACGTCTGCTCATCTGCTCAGAGGAGGGGCGCCTTCTTTCCAATTTGCCCAAAGGCACGGAAGGGGCTGGCTGAGGCCCTGGGAGGACCACCCCCCCCAAGTCCCAGGGGAGCTCAGTGGGAGCAGAGGGCGCCTGGGGCGGGGCTCATCCTCACCCAGACGAGGATGGAGAAGAAAGCGAAGGTGATGGCGGCCTTGGCGCTGCTGCTGCCCAGGAGGAACTCTTTGGGTGGCGAGTGCTGCCACTGGTTGGCCAGGAAGCAGAAACCCACGAACCAGACGCCTGTCCAGAGGACTGGGGGGTCGCGAGGAGAGAAGAGGGGCGGGGGAGAGGCGGCTTAGGCTTAGGGTTGTGGAAAGCGGGGGGCTGGGGTCTCGCTGCCTGCGTGGCCTCTCCCATCTGTACTGTCCACCACGGGAGCCACCGGGCACAGGTGGCTGTCTACATTTCAATTAAAATAGAAGTAAAAACAAATTCAGCCCCTCGGTCGTCTGGCCACACTTCAAGCGCTCAGTAGCTACAGGTGGCCAGCGGCTCCTGCGCAGGTACAGAACATGCCCACCCTCACAGAAAGTTGTACTGGCCTGCCCTGGACTCAGCGACCTTTGAGGGACCTCCCAGCCCTGAGATGCTGGGACTGGCCCTGTGCGGAGGAGGAGGAGAGGGAGGAGGAAGGGGAGGAGGAGGGGGAGGAGGGGAAGGAGGAGGAAGGGGAAGAGCTGAGATGAGCCAGGCTGAGAGGAAGCAGCCCGGGGCTTGAGGAAAAGGAGCACACATTCATTTAGCGCTTACTGTGTGCCAGGCTCTATCTAGGGTGCTGGCAGCGGTCAGGAGGCGAGACTTTGCTTTAAAGCCCGGATCTGCCACTCAGCAGCTGTGCGCCCAGTTACATACCCTCCTCAAGCCTCGGTTTCCTCCTCTGTAAAGTGGGAATACGAACAGGGCTCACCTCCTCGGGGGGCTCTGAGGAAGAAGTGAGAGCAGGCACCTGGAGCCCTTGACTCCGTGCCCAGTACATGTCAACGTTACTCCAGGCTCCTTTCTCTCATTTCATCCTCACAAAGACCCTGCAAGGTGGGGGCTCTCATCCCGGCTTCTCCTGAAGCTCAGAGAGGGGAGGAGACCCACTCAGGCCCCCAGAGCCAGGAGGCGCTGGAGTTGAGATTCCAAACCCAGGTCTGCTGGCTCCGTGCTCTGAACCCCACCTCCTGCCACCAGGTGGCTTTTCAAGAAACGTTCTCTGGGGACGGGAGGCAAACGCGAAGAAAAGCCAGGCCGAAGGGAGGCTTCTAGAATTAGCCTGGGGGTCAGAAGAGGTGACCCTGCCACTGAGTCTAAAGGACGAGGAACAATTCCCCTGGAGGAGACAGCGGGTGTAGAAGAACTGCGAGAAGGGAGGGATGAAGCTCTGGGTCGCGTGTGAAGGACAGTCGGAGGCTGGCTGGGCGGTGTCCTGGGGGCCTTGGGGAGTCAGGGGCTGGGAGTAGGGGCAGGGCAGCTCTCGGCGGGTGTCCCCAGGGGCTCACCGGCCAGGATGAAGTCCAAGAGCTGGAAGGCCGTCTTGAAGCGGGTGCTGGCGAGGCGGCTCTGGTGGGCATCCAGGGCGAGGAAGCCCAGGCAGCTGAGGAAGGCCAGGAGGCCAGCCCCCGCGGAGAAGCTGCAGGCCGTGTTGCTGCTGTTGAGCACGCAGAGGAGCTGCGACGAGTCGGTCTTGTTCTGGTAGCCGTCCGTCAGCAGGGAGGAGAAGATGATGAGCGAGAAGACCTGTGGATGCAGGAGGAGGATTCCCGGGGGCCAGAGCGGAGCTCAGCGTCGCCCCAAACCCACTCATCCTCCCGGGTCCCCCATCTGTGGACGGCGGGCCCTGCCCTACACCCACTGGACGGTTCTGGACCCTCCCTCCCTGTGACAGCCTCAGCGCCTTCAAGCCCGGTCCCTCCAGTTGCCCTCACCCCTCTTCTCTATCCTAGCTCAGGCCCCTTCTCCTGGGCCCTCGCCTCAGCCTCCTCCGCCTCCCCAGCCTCCCTGCCTCCAGTCTTACCCCTTCTAGTCCAATTCTCCACGGCCCCAGAGGGGTCTTTCCACACCCTGCCCCTCCTCCCTCACAGCCCCCCATGGCTCCCTAGCACCCCTGGGACAGTCCCAGCCCCTCAGCCTGGCTGTTGCGACCCTGCGTGGCCTCTGCTCTCCTCTCTCTTTTAATTTCGTCTCTCCCCACTCACCTCTGCCTCTCTCCCAGGCTCCCCTTCTGCCTCCCCAAACAGGTACCTGCCACCAAACCCAGGTACCAATATGAAATGCTTAGCACAGTGCCCAGGACACATGAAGAGCTCAGCAAGTATTTGCCGTCATGGTCACTCTCTCTGCCTCCAAGCTCCTCCTCTGCCTGCAGCTTCCTCCTCCCTCCCGGCTCGGCTAATTCCTATCCATTTTTAAAAATATATTTGTGAGGTATTCCAAAGACACAGAAAAGTTGGAGAGAAATGTGACAAACATCCAGTACCTAACAAATATTACCATTTTGTTTTTTTTTTTTTTTTTGCTTCAGGACTTTTTTTTTAAGCAAATACAACCTCACTGATGTGCTAGCCCTGTCCATCATCTGTGCACGCTGCATACAGCATGCTTGTCTGCCACGGTGTTTATTTATTAAACCCCACCAGAGCACCTCATAACCAGTAGCCTGTGTCATCCTTACAACCACCCTAGGATGCAGGCACTACTAACAGCCTGTTTTTTAGATCATGGAACTGAGGCACAGAGAGGGTGAGGAATTGCCCAAAGTCGCTCAGCCTGGATTTGAAGCGAAGCTGTCTGGCTCCTGGGTCTGCTATAACCCCCGCTCTACTGCCTCAGGCTGGACCAGACTCCTTGAGAGCAGGGGATCCTATCAATGCAATTCAGTGAAAATGTTAAGTGATTATTTGTCTCGGACAGTCACAATGCTACATGGAAAGGTTCATGCCGGATATGGAAGGATCTGGTGTGTGTAAGGGGTGGGCGGTGGGAGCTCGGTCCAGGAAGGCTTCCTGGATGAGGTGACGCCTGTAAGGAGTGTTGCAGGGTGAGAAAGGCTAAGGAATGGGGGTTGTCTGGAGGGCAATAGGGAGCCATGGGAGGGCTGTGAGCAGGGGAGGGGCAGGGTCAACTCTGGATGAATGAAGAGCCCTCTGGGGCCACTAGAGATGGACTGGAGCGGGTGAGACTGGAGGTTGGGAGGCCAGAGAGGAGGCTGGGGCCTGGGGTCAGGGAGAGAGTCAAAGTTTGAGCCGAAACTGAAGTCATGGGGCTGGGTTTAGGAGGAAACAAGGTGAGATCTGAGCTGCACCTTAAAGAATGAGGAGTTTTTCAGGCAGGCAGAGGAGGAAGGGCATTCCAGGTGGGGCAAACCGTGTGTGCAACAGCCAGACGCTGCAGCATGGGGCTCCTTCAGGGATTGGAGAGAAATCTCCTTTGAGGGATCAGGTGTGAGATGAGGCTGGGAAAGTGGGCAGGAGCCAGACCCTCAGAGGCCTCGAACCCCAGACCCGGGGGCCTGGCCTTGGGAGCCACGGAAGGTGAAATTCCTTACTTGAATGTAATTTTTTGCATGGAAGGGTTCTGAGTAGAGGACTGCCAGGCTCAGACCTGGGAGTCAGAGCAGATCTCTAGGGTCGTGATGGACTGGAGTGGGCAAGACAAGAGGCCAACAGATCAGAGAGGAGATTGGTGGGAAGGCGCAGGCAGAGACACTGAGGTCTGAGCTGAGCCCGGAGCTCTGGGGAATCTCCAGCGATATTTAGGACGTAAAATTGGACTTGGTGACTGATTGGATGTGGTGATGCTGGGGACCTAAGCAGAGGAGTAGGCGAGGGGAAGGGAATTCAGGGGAGTTTGAACTCCCCCTGGACAGGGTGCACATGGGACCCTTCTCTCTGTTCTAGCCCCAGCGCCAGATTGGAGCTCAGCACATGTGTGTCAAAAGAGTGAACCACCTTGGCCCTTCTTCTTTGCCCTTGACCTGCCCTTCAGAGTGGGGGTGGGGGAGGCAAAGGATGGACCCCTAAACTCCTCAGCCTCTGGCCTTCCTGCTCTCTCCTTTGCCTTTTTTTTTTTTTAAATGTTATAGTTATTTATTTATTTTTCTTTCTTTCTTTCTTTTTTTTTTTTTGTGAGGAAGATCAGCCCTGAGCTAACATCCACGCAAATCCTCCTCTTTTTTTTGCTGAGGAAGACCGGCTCTGAGCTAACATCTATTGCCAATCCTCCTCCTTTTTTTTTCCCCCTAAGCCCCAGTGGATAGTTGTATGTCATAGCTGCACATCCGTCTAGTTGCTGTATGTGGGACGCGGCCTCAGCACGGCCGGAGAAGCGGTGCGTCGGTGCGCGCCCGGGATCCGAACCCGGGCCGCCAGTAGTGGAGCTCGCACACTTAACCGCTAAGCCACGGGGCTGGCCCTCTCCTTTGCCTTAATTGCCTTCTCTGAATAACAGTAACAATAATAACAACACGTGCCTTCTTTTTTTTTCCTCTGAGGAAGACTGGCCCTGAGCTAACATCCGTGCCCATCGTCCTACATTTTGTATGTGGGACACCAGCACAGCATGGCTTGAGGAGCAGTGTGTCGGTCTGAGCACGGGATTCAAACCTGCGAACCCCAGGCCGCGGAAGCGGAGCACGTGAACTTAACCACTACACCACCGGGCCGGCCCCGACAGGTCTCTCCTTTTGTCCAGCACTTGGGCATTAACCAGGGGCATTCACATCCATTCCTATCTCGGAGCTGAGGAACCGCGTCCATAGAAGGGGAGCGTCTTGCCCTGCTGGTCTGAGGCAGACCAGGTCAAGGTCAAGGGTGGGAAGCCCATTGATGGTTTCTGAGTCCGGGTTCATTTTACCTGCACTGCCTTCTAGAAGCCTCGCAGCAGCCCCACGTGGTGGATGCTGCTAACTCGTTTCTGTTTCACAGGGGACAGACCGAAGCCATTATGGTGGCATGCAAAGAGCCGGTCGCATCTGACTCCGCCAGCTGTGCGGCCTTGGGCAAACTGTTCAGCTCTTGGGGCCTTGGTTTCCCAGTCTGTCTCTGTGCTGTGAAGAGGGGCATGCAGGGTGGGGGCCTGGCCCTGAGGATAGTTCTCATGATTGGCCCAGAGAGGGCAAGCGGCCTCTCAAGGTCAATCAGCGGTGGAGGGGGGACTGGAATCCAGTCTTCCTGACTTCCAGGCCCGGGCGCTGTCTGTCCACTGACCCCAAAAACCTTATGCTGTGGCTTGAGCCCAGGGCTCAGCTGGGCCAGAGGGACCCTAGCCCTCTGAAGCCTGAGTCCCACCTCCTTCCACGCCCTCCCTGGCCTGTCCCCAGGGAGGGAGCAAAGATTCATCAGTGAAGGCACCAGCTGGCAGGCGGCAGTGAGAGGAACAAGGGCACCAGCTGCCCAGAGACTCCCTACTGAGGAGCCAGGCCAGGGGGGAGGGAGGAGAGGGCTGGAGGGAGGGAGGAGGGAGGCGGCAGGCAAAGTCTGTGACCGGAACGTCTGGCACAGTCGGCAGCCCTTCCCTCCCCGTTCCCCACCCCAGCCCACACCAGCTGGGCCTCCTTCTCCCTCCCCACCCTCCACCCGCCCTTCCTTCCGAAGCTTTGGAGGCACGAGAATCCCTTCCACTTGCTCGCCAGCTGGGTGATGTCCCTAGGCAAGTCACTCAACCTCCGTGAGCCTCAGTTTCCCCCGGGGTCAAACAGGGGTAATGATGCCCGTGTCACAGGGTCGTGGTGAGGAGCAGAAGGGCTAACACCAGGGAGGGACCTGAAACGGGGACACAGAACTCGTAATTCCCCTGGGTGAGAACAAGGGACACAGTCTCCCTCACCCTGGGCCCGCGCCACCCATCTCTCTCCTTGCTCACACGCCATGATTTGTTCCGATAATAATTGCTATTTGTGGAAAGATTACTATTTGTCAGGCCCATGCCAATCACTTTATAGGCAGAAACTTGTTTCGTTTTCACAACAGTCCTTCCTCTGACCAGGGCACTCCATCATCTTTGTACAGATGAGAGTACAGAGGTTCAGAGAAATCAAGTCACTTCCCCAGGGTCACACAGACACAGAGTGACAGGCAAGTTATCAAACAAAACCGGGCACTTTTGAGAATGAACAGTGGTGCTACAGATGATTATGCCAAAAATGGCCCAGGCAAATGGAGAAATATGTCACCCTATGCGGACAGCATGTGGCCGAGCCAGGATTCGAAGCCAGGATTCGAAGCCAGGCCCGTTTGATTCTTCTCCGACCACAGGTTCCAGACAGGGTAGGGAGGAGATACTCTGGATTAGCACCCCAGGGTTCAATCCAGGGCACCCCACCTACTCCCATGACCCCGATCAAGTCTCATCATCTCCCTGGGCCTCAGTTTCCAGCTCTGTCGAAGGAGGGCAATGGGTGCAGCAGAGCTGAAAGCCCGGAGTCGCAGCTCTGACCTCAGGTACCGAGGTCCAGAGAGGAGCAGTGACTGGCCCAAGGTCACACAGCAAAGCCTGGGCGGAATGAGGATTGGAGCCCAGGTGTCTTGCCTCTTCAAGAATGTGGTGACGATTAAACGCATGCACGCAAAGCCCTTGCTTGGCACAGTGCCTGGCCCACAGGGACCACCAACCCCGGGTGTCTCAGGTCTGCGTCACACCTTCTCTTCCCACCTCTGTGTGCCTCTTGCTTCCTGGGGGCCCCAGCCCCTGCTCCTCTCCCAGCCCTCTTCTGAGAGGTGGGAAATGAACGGGCTCTGGCATCTCACAGACCCCAGTTTGAATCCCGGCCCTGCTTCCTGCTGTGTGACCTTCGCCAACGCTGTCCAATGGAACTTTCTGCCACGACGGAAACGTTCCGGATCTGCGCTAATAGGAGAGCCACCTGCCACGTGTGGCTGTCGAACACCCGAAATGTGGCCGCCGTGACTGAGCAACGGAGTATTTCCTTTTAATTAGTTCAGATGGAAATAGCGATCGCCACAGGTGGCTTGTGGCTACCCCCCTGGACAGCGCAGCCTTACAGAAATGATTTAACTTCTCTGATCTTCGGTTCTCTGATCTCAAAGACGGGGCTCAGAGCCCCCACTTCGAAGGGCTGTTTCTTCCTATGAGAGTTAGCAAGTGCTCAGAACAGCGCAGGGCCTCCGGCGACAGGTGACTCCAGTTATTAGCTCCCTTTTGCTTTGTTCCCTGCCCCACCCCCGGCCCCTTCCTGCACCCCACGCCCTCCGCACTGTGTCTGAGAGGTGAGAACTCCCGTGTCCCATCACCCACGGGGCAGTCGGGCCGCAGGAGGGCCTCACCCCTGCCAAGATGCGCGCGATCGTCTTCGGCCTCTTCAGAAACTGCACGGCCTCACTGTCGGCCAGGTCCTGGAGGCTCTCCGGGATGTGCATGGCGGTCGCTCTGCTCCCGGGGCCCCTGGAGGCGGGAGCAGGGATGCTGGGCGCTGCCTGCTGGGCGCCGCCGTCCAGAGGCTCCAGGCCCACCTGGGGCTCGGCTGCTGCAAGACAAGACGGATGGCGTGAGGTTCGAGTCGGAGGTGCGGGTGAAGGGGCTGCCCCCAGGAGTAGGGGGCACGAGATGCGGAAATGAGGGGTCCCAGGAATGGGATTGTGTGGGGTGAGGGGTCTGCCGGCGTTCTTAGGAGTCGGGGCAGGGGGCGAAGGGCTGCTGGGGGTCCCATGAGTTGGGGTACAGGGTAAGGTGGCTACTGAGAATTCCAAAGGTAGGGTTACAAGGTGAGGGGACTTCTGGGGGTCCTAGGAATGGGGGGCACAGATGAGGGGGCTGCTGGGGGCTCAAGAGTCAGGAATGCAGGCTGAGAAGGCTGTAGGGTGAAGGGGCTGCCAGGGGTCCCAGAGGTGGAGGTGCAGGTGGAGGCAGTCCCAGGCCAGGGAGAAGAATGGGGACAAGACTGGAGTGTTGGGGTCAGGTCCCTGACACCCCCATATTTTAAGGGCTGTGTTCTCTCTGGGAGAGGACAACAAGTGGGGTTTATCAGGGATTAGGGCATGCTGGGATGGAGATCAGAACCCCTGGGAGGTCTTAACCAGGGGAATCCCTTTCAAGTTTTGGGGTGACGGCACCCATAATGGAGAACCCAGGTATATTTTAGGCTGTCCTTGTGATTTGGGGCTATTTCCTTAGAATAAGGGCCTCCCTTTAGAATTCAGCTCCATCTTCATAAAAGTGCATTTCCTCGAGCTGGGGGTCTGGACCTCAGATGTGCGGGGAACATGGGCTCAGAACTGAGCTGTCCCCTCAGAATGGGAGGCCATGCCCCGGCACCAGGCTACCTTCTTAGAATCGGGGTCTTCCCTTTAAGGATGTGGAATTGGGGCGCTGGGGCTCTAGGGGGGAGAGGTTTGGGGGTGACGCTGCCTGACAAAGGGCCACCCCTACTGTGGAGGCCCGGTCCGCGTCACCTGGAGGCCCGCTCTTCCTTCCGCCCACCCTCCCCTCTGAGTCCCTGGCGCCACCTCCGTCTTCCTTTGGGTCTGCTTTTTCCCGCCTTTTCATTTCTCCGCAGCTGATTGGCTGAGCTCAAGTCCCGCCTCCTCTCTTTTCCCGCCTACTCGGCAGCTGACAGGGGCGGGGGCGTGGCCTCAGCGGACGTTGGGCCGCCCGCCGTTGGCGAGCTGCGCGCGGGAGCCCTGCCCCGCCCCGCCCCGCCCCGCCCCGCCCCGCCCCATTCCCTTTGAAGCACGCGGACAAGGAGACACTTCTGCAGCGCATGCGCTGAGCCCAAAGAAGGCCTGCAGCGGGGCCAGGCAGGCCGATTGCGCATGCGCGATCGAGACCGGGCGTTAGAAGAAAGAATGGACAGCGCTCAATGACCCAGACTTTGCGCATGCGTCTTACTGCTGCCTGAAGCCGAACCTCGGGGGCCCAGGACACCTTCCTGCACATGCGCAGGAGGCTCAATGACAGTCGAGCGTTGGCTAAGGTGAGGGAGACGGTGGAGGATTGCATGGCCGGGGGCGGGCGGCCCTGCATCCCTCCTTGCCTTTCCGAGCATCTCCTATGCTCCTAAGATCCGCCTCGCCGCTTTGGCCCCGCAGAAACCAGTTGTACCACTACAGGGTCTCTGGGCCCGCAAAATGCCCAGGACCTAAAACCTCTGACTCCTGCCTGGGACCCGAGCCAACTGAGCAGTGTGGGAGGGGACGGGCAAGAGGGCTACGAAGCGGGCGAATGGACTCTGCGCCCTGCCTGGGGTAGGGACGGCCCCCGGAGGTTGGGACATGGAGGCGGAGAGGGCGCATGTCCTCCAGATGACCTTTGACCCCTGCCCATTTCCCTCGTTCAGGCTCCCAGGAAAGGGTCTGGCCATGCTGCATATGACCCGGGGGGTCTGGGCATCCAGGGTGCGAGTATGGCCCCTGTTGCCCGCGCTCCTCGGGCACCCCCGGGCCTTGTCGTCGCTGGCGGTCAAGATGGGGGAGTACCGCAAGATGTGGAACCCCACGGAGCCCCGCGACTGGGCCCAGCAGTACCGCGAGCGGTTCATCCCGTTCTCCAAGGAGCAGCTGCTCCGCCTCCTGATACAGGTACCGCCCGTCCCGGGTCCAAGCGCCTGGGAACTACGACTCCCGGCAGGCCTCGCGGGGGCACAGCGCTACATGCTATAGAGGGCTGCCCTGGTGCCTCCTGGGAGTTGTAGTTCCCGTTCTCCGTTCCCCGTTCCCAGGTGGGCGCGGAGTGAATTGGAATTCAGGGGGAAAACCTTTGAGGTGCAGATGTGGCAGCAATTCCCGACTCTAGCTTGTTCTGGGGGCTTGAACAAGCATTCACTGGGGCATGGTTTTTCCCTCTGCAAAATGGGTATAGTAATCATCCTCATCATTTCTATTACTACTACCTAATAATAATTTTTATACCTAGGAAGCTATAATCATAATTATTATCACACTCTGTGAGCTCTTACTATACGGCACTGTGCTAAGCATTTTCCATGTATTATTGAATCATCCTAACAACCCGGTCAGAGAGATGCCACCATCATCCCCATTTTACAAACAAGGTAACTAAAGCAGGAGAGGATAGTGACTCACCCAAGGCTATGGTGTAGTGGCCCAGACTTGAAGCGAAGGGATCTGACTCCAGAGCAGGGCAGGGACTAGGGTGAGGCTAGTAGGCACTTGCTCAACTCTAAGAGCGAGTGCTCCTTACATTTTACGCCTTAGGCGCCTCATTCACCTCACCCTAGTCGATAGCACTCCAAAGCGTAGGCTCTTACCCTACTGTTGTCACCATACTAGTGAATGGGCTGCCCTGTGGCTTAGCGGTTAAGTGCGCGCGCTCCATTGGTGGCCCAGGTTCGGATCCAGGCGTGCACCGACGCACCGCTTCTCCCGCTGGGCCGAGGCCGTGTCCCACATACAGCAACTAGACAGATGTGCAACTATGACATAGAACTATCTACTGGGGCTTTGGGGGGGTGGGGGGAAAGGAGGAACCATACTTGTCATTATTGAAGATTATCATTCGTTCACTTAACAGTTATTTATTGAACACCTGCTGTATGTACTAAGTGCTGTGCTAGACTATACACACACATAGATATATACACACATACAGAAACACACATGTATATATATGGACACACATGATCGCATCCAACTCTCACCATTGCTCTCTAAGAAAGAGGGCGCGATCCTCTGTTGCTGATCAGGAAGCACGCTCAGAGAGGTGAAGTATGTAATTTTTACTAATATCTCATTTATTGAGAAAGACATAATGGTTATGGTATTAGCTGGATGGGTGATATTGACTAGCTATAAGTAGTAGTGGAAGAAGCCATGTCACCAAGTCACCCAGGTCACCGAGTGGCTAAATGTGTGTGCTCTGGAGTCAGACAGGCCTGGAATGGAGTCTCAGCTTCTCTTTATACAGATGCTGTGGCCCTCAGCAAGTGACTTCCCTGAGCCTCAGTTTCCCCCTCTGAAAAATGGGGGTTATAATTCCATTAACCTCTTTGCATCTTCTGGAAGATGATAGCATGCCAGCAGACGGTGCCTGGCACACAGTAAGCAGTGTGTGGCTGCGTAAGTGTCACAGCAGGCACTTGAACCTCTAGCTCTTTTAGCCATCCGCTTTTCCCCATACTGGGCTACCTCAGTTTCTTGGTCAGTAAAATTGACCAAACCCCCTTTCCCCTAAACAAAGCAAAATTTTAAAGAGCCCAGAGCTCTGATTGTCTGTGCAGGCTGCCAGGGAAAGAATTCTTCCGTGAAAAAGGGGAAAGAGACCTAAAGAGAAGTTTTGCTTCCCGAGGTAACAGGAATTCCACTCCAGTCCCGCAGAGAAGGTGGCTTTGGAGGAGTTCTCGGCCCACGTGGACTTCTGCACCCTGTTCCACTATCACCACATCCTGGCCCGGCTGCAGGTGAGGATGAGCACGGGCCTTGTTTACTCGTCCATTCATCCAGCAAAAATTCTTTGAGCACCTTTGTGGAGCCTGGCCCTGTTCTGAGCACTGGGGATGCAACAGTGAACAGGACAGAGAAGCCACGCCCTCATGGAGCCGACATTCCCCTTGGGGAGACAATAAACAATTATAAAATATGATACCCAGGAGTGGTAAGTGCTATGAAGAACAATGAAGCAGAGATTGAGGCGGGATAGAGAGGGATGAGATGGGGGCCTGTTTTAGACAGGGTGATCCGGGAAGGCTTCCCTGAGGAGGTGACAGTGAGCTAAGACTTGAATAAAGGGAGGGAACGAGCCTGCTGGATGTGTGGGGGAGGACATTGCAGGCAGAAGGAAAAGCAAGTGCAAAGGCCCTGGGGTGAGGGTGTTGGAGAAACATGGACCACTGTGGCTGGAGGGGAGTGAGCGAGGGAGAGAGGGCGGGAGATGAGGGCAGAGAGGGAATGGGGGCAAATTGTGCCTGGCCTCGTGGGCCCTGCTGAGGACTTTGCTTTTACACTAAGTGAGCTGGGAGCCACAGGAGGGCTGAGCAGAGCGGGGACATGAGCTGATTCAGGTATTAACAGGATCTTTCTGGCTGCCGTGGAGGGAACAGACTGTCAGAGGCAGAGAGATCTATTAAGGAGTCTATTATATTTTTCCAAGTGAGTGATAATGGCAGCTCCGACAAAAGTAATAGCCGTGGAAGTGGTGAAAATTGATCAGATGCTGGTAATGGTTGGAAGGCCTCAGCATTTGGCTGTGAGGGAAAGAGAGGAGTCAGGTTGTGCCTCCAATGGTTCTGGCCTGCCTCCCTGCAAGGATGGAGCTGCCATCTACTGAGATGCAGAAGACAGGGCGGGGGTGGGAGACAGATCTGCGGAGAAGGTCGAGAGCTCAGTTTTGGACTTAGAAATTTCAGCTGCCTGTCAGAGTAGAGAGATGGACTCAAATGTGGGGTCTGGAGGTCAAGGGAGGGGTCTGGGCTGAGAAGCACCCCTGGGAGGATCTAGATGGTACTAAATGGGACCATCAGGGGGATTAGCTGAGCCCTCGGGCATGCCAGCCTGGAGAGATCAGGAAGGGGTACTGGAACCAGTGAGGGGGACAGACAAGGAGCAGCCCGAGAAAGATCTGGAACCCCAGGACAGAGTGGTGTCCGGAAGCCAATTCTCAGCATCCTCCTCCTTGTCCTTCCAGGGTCCTGCCTGTGTTGGGGGTCCCCAAGACCCCTCTCAGATTCACTGATTTTCTAGAGGGACTCACAGAGCTCAGATAAACCGTGACGCACACAGTAGTAGTTTATTACGGCAAAAGGAGAGCGAACAAAATCAGCAAAGGAAAAAGACGATGGGACAGAGTCCAGGAGAGACCTGGCAAGAGCCTCCAGCTGTCTCTCCCAGTAGAATCACACATACAGCACTTAATTCTCCCACCAATGACGAGTGACCGGGCACGGAGTGTCGCCCACCGGGGAAGCCCACCTGAGCCTTGGTGTCCAGGGTTTTTCCTGGGAGTTGGTCACGGAGGCCTGGCTGGCTGCTGTGTGGCTGACTTTGGTCTCCAGCCCCTCCAGAGGGTGAGCTGATACTATGTGGCCCAGGGCCGCCACCGTCAATCACATTGTTACATAGACTATCCAGTGTGGCCTGAGGCCTCAGATAAACCTAGACATTCTTATCAGGCAGGACATGCCAAGGGCCTGGAGGTTCCCTCCCAGGAGCCAGTCGAGGGCCAGTCCTTTGAAATGTGCAGGGTTTGGCCACCCCAGGCCTGCTGAGCCCACCCTGTACTGCACACTGCCACTGCCCTCCTCCAGCTGCCATCAGCCCCACTTGCAGAGGCAGAAACCGAGGCTCACGAGGGCCCAGGATGTGCCCACGATTGCACAGTTCACGAGTGGCAGAGCCGGGATCTGAGCCCCTGTCCGCTGCCTCCAAGCTCTTCCCCGGGGCACCTGCGACCTCGGGAGGCAGGGTTTTTTTTTTTTTTTTTAATTACTTAAAAATATTTAAATATATGGAAACATAGAATATTCAATGAAGATGCATATTCCCACTGAGGCAGGAGATTTTAAACTGAGGTGCCGAGTGGGGGGCGGGGGTGGGGTAGAAGCACCAGAGGCGGGTGAGAGACACTGGGTGACCGTTAGCTGATGACCTAAGTTCCTTGAGGAAGTGGCCTGGGGCAGGAAAAGTATTAGAATAGCTCCGTTCTGGTTCAAACACCAGCTTTGTTGTTCACCAGGCAGGTGACCTTGGACCAGGAGAGGTGACCTCTCCCCACTCCTCCTTTCCTCTTTTCATTCATTCATTCACTGAATTCGCTCAGCGGATATTTGTGGAGCAGCTACTGTGTCCCCTGAATTGTTCCAGGTCCCGGGACACAGCGGCGAGCCTGGCAGATGTGTGTAACTGCCTCATGGGGTCACGTTCTAGGGAGGGAGACAGACCCTCAACAAAGTAAAGAATCAAAATGGGTTAAGAGGTGCGAGGTACTCAGGATGGGGCTGCCAGATAAAGTACAGGACGCCTCGTTTGTTCCTGTCCTACTGCTAACAAATTACCATAAACCGGGTGGCTTAAAACAACAGAAATCTATTCTCCGAGTTCAGGAGGCCAGAATTCCGAAGTCAAGGTGTTGGCAGGGTTGGTTCCTTCTGGAGACTCCTAGCTTATGGCGGCAGGCCTTGGTGATCCTTGGCTTATGGAGTCATCACTCCAATCTCTGTCCCCATCCTCACATCGCCTTCCTCTCCGTGCCTCTGTGTGTCCTTTTCTGTCTCTTATAAGGACACTCTCGTTGGATTTAGGGCCCCCCTAATCCAGGATGATCTCATCTCCATCCTTACCTTAATTACACCTGCAAAGGCCCTGTTTCCAAATTAGGTCATGTTCTGAGGTTCCAAGGGGACATTAATTTTTAGGGCACACTATTCAACCCTCTACATCCAATTAAATTTGAATTTCAGATAAACTCTGAATAATGTTTTTAGTATTATTATGTCCCATGCAATACAGTCCTCAAATATCGCATGGGACAAACTTAAACTGAAAAATTACTTGTTGTTGATCTGAAGATAAAATCTAACTTGGTGTCTTGTATTTTTTAAAAGTTATTTTTGGATAAATCCGAGAACCCAAATTGAGGAGAAAAAGAAAGCAGGGGTGTTTTGTAGTCTTAGGTAGGGTAGTCAGGGAAGGCCTCCCTGAGGGGGTGACATTTGAGCAAAGGCCTGAAGGAGGTGAGAGCGAGCCATGTGGAGATCTGCGGGAACAGTAAGTGCAAAGGCCCTGAGGCAGGAGTGTGTAGGGTGTGTAGGAGGAACAGCAAGGATGCTGGTGGGACTAGAGCCAAGGGGAGAGGGCTGGAGATGAGGGCAGAGAGGGGATCAGGTCCAGATCCTGCAGGGCCTCGTGGGACACGGTGAGGATGTTGCTTTGACTCTGAGTGAGGTGGAAGCTACTAGAGGATTCTCAGAGGAGGGACGTGAGCTGACTTAGATTACAGCAGGCGCCCTCTGGCGGCAGCATGGGGAACAGACTTGGGAGTGCGGCTGGAGGATGGGGGCAGGGAGACCAGTGCGGAGGCCACAGCAACAGTCCAGAGGATGAGGGTAGCTCAGACGGGGGTGGGGGCGCGGAGGTGCGGGGGATCGGGGCGGGGGTGAGGGTTGGAGGTGGCGGTGAGAAGTGGTCAGATTCTGGAAATATAGTAAATGTGGTGCCGTCAGGATTTGCTGATGGGTTGAATGTGTGAGAAAGAGACAGGTCCAGGATGACCCCAGGCCCGAGCACCTGGAAGGATGGGCTTGGCCTCTTCTGAGCTGGGAAGATAATGGAGGAGCAGGCCTGGGGGGCACTTTCAGGACCCTAGTTCGGGATGTAGCGGATTTAAGAGGATGCCTGTGGATGCCCGTGGCGGGGCATCAAGAGGCCCCTGGGACATCTGCGTGGAAGCCTTGAGTAGGCTCTTGGCTGCGTGATCTGGAGCTCCAGAAAGATTTCCAGACTGAAGACAGATATCTGGGAGTCCTCAGTAGACAGATGGTGTTTGAGGTCCCCAAGGGACTACTCGAGGATAGAAAATGGCAGCAACGATCACCATGAAGACCCAATGACATCTGTCATTCCTTCAACAGATGTTTATGCAGAGCCCGGGGCCGGGTGCCGGGGCTTCATCGAGGGGCAAACCCAGGCCTGCACCCCGCCCTTGGGGAGCTGAACTCGGGGGGTGGGAACAGCCGTGGTCAGACACTCTCCCCACTGAATGGGCAAGTTCAGATTGTGACCTTGAGAGACACGGTCTGTGTGAGCGGATGACAAAGCTGACTTTGGTTCCTGTACTGGGGTCTGTGTGCAAATTGGGAAAAGGCACCCCTTTCCCTAGCCTGGTGCTGTCTAATATGGTAGTCACCATTCACATGTGGCTGTTTAAATTTGAAATAATTGAAATTAAATAAAATTTTAAAATTCCATTCCTCGATTGTAGTCACCATGTTTCGGTTGCTCGGTTGCCCCCTGTGACCAGTGGTAACCTATTGGATGGTGCAGATCTAGGTGTTTCCATCACTGCAGGAAGTTCTATTGGATAGTGCTGCTCTATATCCTTTATTTCCATCTGAAAGGGTGACTGTTGTGATAAATGTATAGGTCTACAGCATCTAGAAGGGTGCTTCTTAGATCTGGCACCTTTGTGCAGTGCACACCATGCCCAACCACACAGGGCGGCCCTGCTCAGCCTAGGGAGCAGAGGAGGGCTCTTTAAGAGTGATCTGGAATATGATAGAAGAGTAGGACTTCAGTAGTGGAAGGGGAAAGAGGCAGGGAGAGGGGCAGGGAGAGTCTCCCAACAGCATGTGCAAAGTCCCTGTGCCTGGAGGAACTAAAGCCAGTGTGGCTGGTGTAGAGCCACCAAGGGGGAGTGTGGTGTCAGGCCCTGGCAGGCCTTGCAGGCCCTAGTACAGACCCTGGTCCTGCTTCCTGAGGGCAGTAGGAGCATTGGAAGGATAACAGGAGATTGACATGGTTAGATGTGTAATTTCTGATAGACCACTTCCTGTCTGTGTGACCTTGGCCAGATACTTAGCCTCTCTGTGCATGAATTTCCACATCCAGGAATGGGGATAACAATAGTACAATTCTCACATTGTAAGAATGTGTGTATAACATGCTTCAAACAGTGCCTGACACATAAGCATTATATAAATGTGTGCTATTATCATTTATTACTATTGATTGTTGTTATCGTTTGACAAAATCTTGGCTGCTCTGTAGAGAACAGATTGGCTGGGGAGGCGGGGCGAGGGGATTTGGGGAGACCATTGAGAAGGCTGTTGGACTTATCCAGGCAGGAGGAGGCTACGGTGGTGCGGATGCAGCAGGGCTGGTGGGGAGGGGAGAGCGGGGCGAAGTGGCGACCTGTTTGGAGGTGGAATGAGCAGGATTTATTGTGTGAGGGGCGGTAACGCAGGGGTCACCTGTGACATCCAGGTTCCTGGCTTGAAGCCCAGGGTGGATGTGAAGTTCCCAGAAGAGAATCAGGCTCGCAGCGGACTCTGATGGATGCAGATTGCTCTCTCCTCCAGCTCGGAGGTTCCCTCCCTCTCTAACTGCAGCTTAGTCCCGGGGATGGAATTTCTCAAGGTCACTCCGTGAGTCTGAGAAGGTGGCCAGAGAGACCTGCTCTGCCAGCCTGGGCTGAAGGACTCAGGCACAGGCCTCAGCTTTGGGCTCGAGTCCCGTCCTTGGCTGGCACACCCCAGCCCTGGGAGTTAGTTCAGAAGAGGATTTGCTAGGCCTGACTCTCCTGTATCACTCTCTCCCTGCACAGTTGTTTCTGAGGCCCTGGGCCTTCCCACCTCCAAGCCTTTGCCCAGGCTATTCCTCCCACGTGGGTTACCCTCCCGTCTTCTGCTAATTCAAAGTCGCACCTGGCCTAGACAAGCTGCTCCTTCAGCTCTGTGCCTCTCTTGAGAGACAGAGAATCGGGTTTATGGGCTTGTTTTATGGAGGGGTGAGTTCCCCCCGAGGCTTGCCCTATAGTCTGGGACAGGTCATATGTCATCCTGAAACTGAATCTCTCCACAAGCAAATAGGCTAGGTGCCCGGAAGCTCACTCTTTCATTCATTCATTCATTCATTCATTCATTCAACAATATTTTGGAGGAAGAGTGATGGGTGCCTAAGATGGGGTGGGCAAGGCAGAAGCCAGTTTGTGAGGGACCTTGAAGATGGGGAAACAATTCTAGTATTTATCCCAAATGCGGTGGGAAGCCGTTGGAGGATAGGGTGGGGAATCTGTTTATAATCTAAGTAAGCTCTTTGGGACAGCGCCTGGAGAATGGTTTGGAAGTGGCGAGAGTAGCAGCAGTGAGAACAGAAGCCCAGTGCAGTTGTTTAGGTGAGAGGCGAAGGCGGCTGGGACAAGAAGGGAGCAGTGGAGATGGAGGGGGAGACGGATGCAAGAGCGATTCTGAGGTGTAGCCAGTGAACTTGCTAAAGGATAGGATATGGGGGTGAGGATAGGAAAGGAATCAGGATGCCTCCAAGGGTTCTGATCAGAGCATCTGAATGGATGGTGGTGCCATTCCTGAAAAGAGGAGACAGGATGGGGCAGGAAGAAATGAAGCGTTCTCCTTGGGCCATGACAAGAGATGCCGTTAGACACCCAACTGGAGATGTCAAAGAGAGAGTTGAATGTGAGAGTCTGACGCTCAGGGGAGAGGCCAGGGCTGGTGGGGGGGAATAGGTTTGGGAGAGGAAATCCAGAATGGCAGTTTTGTTGCAAGATGGGGATGGGAGGCTGTGATCTGTGGGCTCAACATGTTGGATTCGAGGTGACTGTGACATCCAGTAGAGAGTTTGTATTAGTTAGTGTAAAGGCTTAGCTGCTGTAACAAGCAGACCCCACAACATGATGGTTTAAAGGGAGCAGAGGATTATTTCTCTCCCACTTAACAGTCCTGGGGTAGTGGGCCGGGGTGGACAGGCAGCTCTGTTCCACATGAGATTATTCTGGGACCTAGATTCCTTCCATCTTGTTGCCCTGCCATCCCTTAGGACATTGTCTTCATCTCTGTGGGGTCAAAACTGGGTCGTGGGCGAAACAGTGTTCTAAGCTGGCAGAAGAAGGGAGAGAGTGAAGTTCAGGGGAGCAAGAAGTGAGGGGGAAGGTGTACCCATCACTTCCACTCACATTCTGTGGATGAAATCTTAATCATCTGGCCACACCTAGCCCCAAGGGAGGCTGGGAAATGTAGTCTTTCTGGGCAGCTCTATTACTGTGGATATTAGGTCCAGAATTTGCAGAAGAGGTCTGAGCTGGAGAGGCGAGTTGCACAGAGATACACAGAGATGCATGGAGTGGTGTTTAAAGACGTGGGAATGGCAAGGCCACTTAGGGCGAGCTTGAAGAGAGAAAAGGAGGAGTGCCAGAATCACGCCCTGGGGGACCCCATCATTGAGAGGATGGGCCGGGAACGTCCTTCAGTGTGCCCACAATCCCCGTGCTGTGCCCTGGCTCATTTTTCCTTTCTCTGGCTCTCTCCTCAGGCCTTGTATGACCCCATTAACCCCGACCGGGAGACCCTCGACCAGCCTTTGCTTACGGACTCCCAGCGTCTGTCTAATGAGCAGGAGGTGCTTCAGGCTCTGGAGCCCCTTCTGGCCCAGGCCAACTTCTCCCTGCTCTCCGAGGACACCCTGGCCTACGCTCTGGTGGTCCACCACCCTCAGGATGAGGTCAAGGTGCCTGTCTTCCAGAGGGAACCAAAACTCCCAGGAGGCCTTGGGGCTGGGGTGGAGCCTTTGGGAGGCAGAGGCTGCTGGGAGTTGTAGTCCTGAACACAGGGCACTAGCCCATGTGGCGCCTTCGGTGAATTAGAAAAAGGTGACTCTTTCCCGGGTCACTTTGTACACCTTAAACTTGCACAACGTTACACGTCAAATTTATTCAATTAAAAAGTATAATGGAGTATCTTAAAATCAGTGGCATCTTAGATTCTAGGAAATATGGTAATAAAGATTACTATGATGTGAATGGTGCCATCTTAGATCTATGCCCTTGTGCAGTATACAACATGAATAACCGCACATGGCTGCCCTGCCTAGACACTGGGTGATGATAAGCCTGGGGGAGGAGGGGGTGGAATCAGTTGGGGAGGGGCATCTAATTCTGGTATCCTGGGCTCACGCCCCAGCCCATGCTCAGTGGCTCTGCTTCCTTTGTCCCCCTTGGCAGGTGACAATAAATTTGGATCAGTATATCTACATGCAGTTCTGGGCCCTGGGCCAGCGAGTCGGGCAGATGCCCCGTAAATCCAGCGTGGGCTCCAAGCGTGGCTTCTTCACCAAGTCGCCCCCCGCGGAGAGGTGAGGCGGCCCTTGTTCCCCAGCTGCAGCGAGAGGGAGCGAGGTTAGAGTCGAGAGGGGACCGAGAGGTCAGTGTCTGGATTTGGGTGTCTGGGCTCCGGGTGGGACGTCGAGAAAGGGGAGGAGTGAATCATCCAAATGCTGCCTTTTCTTCCCAAGGACAAGTAAGAACCACAATTCCCAAGGGAAGAGAAGGGGTAGGGGCATTTCTTCCCATTTCCCAAACAAGGAAAACCGAGGCTCAGAGAGGGAAGGCCACATTGTGAAAAAGTGACACAGCCAGGATTCTGATGAACATCACATTTTTAACAAACTATTCAAATACGAAGTAGGGTCAGGAGAACCAGATCTTCTCACAACCGGCCAGGGGGCCTGTAAATTACCCAATCTTTCTGGAAATCAGTTTACCAAATATGGTCATGAATCCAAAAAAACCAAACAAAGCAAAAACCTAACACAAAAAAACCCTCATATCCCTTAAACCAGTAATTCCACTTCCAGGGAATCTGTTCCAAGGAGATATTTATACTCGCAGACTGTGTGTTTATCTGTCTCTCATGCTGGACTATAAGCGGCACAAAAGCAGTGATGGACTCATTGTGTTGTCTCTCCAGAGCTTCATAGCACTCCCTGGCACCCAGAAGACACTCTAAAATATACGTAGAATTTGAATTTGAAAATTAACTAAACAAAAGAATTTTATTTAGCTCTCATTTATCAAGTACATAAAATCAGAAGCAACTTACGTGTCCAATAATAGGGGATTCCATTATTTAACTGATCCCCTATTGTTGGACATTTAGCTTATTGCTGACTTTCCTCCCACCACTGTTAAGCAGCTTTTAAAATGATCGTGTGGTCACAGAGCCAGAGAGAGTGTCCTGGGGTTGGAGGGGGCTTCCTGGGGCGGTCCTAACCACCCTCGCCTCTCTGTCTCTGTCCGTCAGGAGATACTTTAAGCGGGTGGTGCTAGCAGCCCGAACGAAGCGGGGGCACCTGGTGCTGAAGAGCTTCAAGGACACGCCGCTGGAGGGCTTGGAGCAGCTGCTGCCCGAGCTGAAGGTGCGCACGCCCACCCTGCAGCGCGCCCTGCTCAACCTCACGCTGCTCGTCTCGGGCGTGGTCTTCTTCGTCAACGTGTGCATGGTGGTGCTCTCGGACCTCAAGGTGGCCACGTCCCTGCTGCTGTTGTTCTTTGCTCTCTTCATGGGCGTGCGGGCCTCCAAGGTAAGCAGGCCACTGGCCGTGCCTCCTGGGTCCCGGCTTCTTTGCGTTCAGCCAGAAGGTCGGGCCACCCTATATCTTTGTTTATTTCATGCATTACTCTGCTTCCTGCTGTACTTTATTCCTTCTCTCCTTTCCTTTCCTTTGTCATTCCTACTTTTTCTTCCCCCACCCCCCCTTCCTTCTTTCCTTTTCTGCTCATTTCCTCAATACAACCTTGGGCAGGTTTCTTGATCTCTCTGTAGCTTCAGTTTCCTCATCTGGAAAATGGGGATAATAGTGAGACCCGCCTGGTAGGGTTGTTGTGAGGATCAAATGGGGGAATCCATGAAGAGCACTGGGTGCAGGGCCTGGCATACAGTAGGTGCTACATAAGTGTTCACAGCCAGCCATTGAGTGCCTGCTTTGAGAGGTACTTCGAGATGTGTTGAAGGTTGTGGGTTTTAGAATCAGACTGCCTGGTTTGAATCTAGCTGTCTGTCTTCTAGCTGTGTGACCTTGAGCAAGCCACTTAACCTCTCTGTGCCTCAGCTCCCGCATCTGGAGAGCGAGGATGACAATAGGACCTAACTCATAGGGTTGTTGTGGGGATTAAATGAGTTAACACACATCTGGTGCCGAGAACAGAGCCTGAGGTATACAGAAGGTACTATATGAGGGTTAGCCATTACCATTATTATTATTATTATAACTAGTTGTACTCTTGTTCCCTGAGTCTGGGCTTCCCCATCCTGGCCGGGTGTCATTAACACCAAGGGAGCTGTTTTATAAAAGCAGCCTCCTGAGCTCCAGCCCGAATGGACTGAATTGGAAACTCTGGGACTGGAGCCCAGGAAACTATTTTTAACAAGCTCCCTTCCTGATTCTGCATGTGAGTGCAAGCCTGCCTCATACAGTTGTGCAGGTTGTTCACCATCCAAGGATTCGTGGCCCAGGGGACGGGTGGGGGCTGGCGCCCCACTTGTGCTTTGTTTGATGAGTCATGTGTTCTATCTTGAGGCTGAGTCAGCCGGAGGGGCTGCCTTTTACTGATTCTCCCCAGGGTTCACACTTGCCCCAGGAGCGTGCACTGGCATGGCGCTGGTTCATTGGTTTTCAAACTGTTTTCAGCCATCCCAACAGGCTCTCAGGAAGACTGGTAATAAATTCCATGGATAATAGCCAGGCTGTGCTACCCCGCTGGGCGTGGGGGTAGTGATTCCTGCCTAGGACCAGGGGTCACGCGGCATTTGAGGGAAGCTTTGAAAGGGGAGGATTGGGCCTGGTGGAGAAGGGGCTGGACACGCATGGCTTAGGGGATCTCACGGGGCTGGGGTCTGGGTTGCAGGGTGGAGAAGTGAGGCCCAGAGGGAGGCAAGGGCCTCGAAAGCTAAGATAGGGGCACTGGCTTTATCCTCAGGGCAGCGGGAGCCATGGAGGAGTTGTAAGCATGGAGGGAGTGCAGCGACCACAGAGGACAGAGGGGAGGGGTGAGAACAAAGGCAGAGAGGCCAGTGAGGGGTGTTGGGCTGGTCTGGGGGTGACACGCAGACTCCTAGCCCAGGGTGGACCGTCTGTCCCACCTCGCAGTGGCCCCAGGGGGCTGCGGAGCCTCTCGGGCTCTGAAGGGCCGGTTTAAAACCCAGTTCACTAATTTAGTGCATCCGTTAAACGTTTTCCTACGCCTGGGCTGAGCCTCCAGCCTTCAATGTGGGCCCTCCCCAGGCTCCCTCCAGCTGCCCCCTCCCTCCCTGTGCGCACTTGTTCCCTCCTGGGTGCCAGCCACTCCCAGATCTCTGTCTCTACCGCAGGCTCCTCTCCCAGTCTCCAAACCTGCTCCCTGGACTTGCCCGAGCCCTTCCGGCATGCACCGCATCCCTGTCGAGCTCAGCATCCATCTTCCCCCAGGCTCCTTCTCCTCCCGAGTTCCCCCGCTCAGGACAAGCACCCAGATCAGACCCAGGGAGGCCGATTTCACTGCAGGATGCGTGTGCCTCTTTCTTCCTCCCCAAAGAGCTTCTCCACGTCTGTGGTTTCCACAAGCAGCTCCCCACCGTCTGCTGGATTGGGGTGCTCTGCGCTCAGCCTGGGGTGGCCAGCTGGGCCAGGCAGAGCGCAGCGTCTCCCCGACACCCGCTCCCCCTCCTGCTTCTCCATCTGTGGATGGCCCTGGTGCCCTCCACTCACTGGCTAGACCCCTGGAAGCTGCCCTCGCCCTGACCCCCAATCTGTCAGTTTCCAGCCCCTCCTTCCTGCTCCCTGAGTCTCTGCGCCCATCTCCGCCCCTCTGTCCGGCCCCAGCTCAGACCCTCTTCCCTGCCTCCCATTCGGTCCCCTCCAGCCCATCCCCGAGGGCCCCCGAGCTGGCTCTGCTCCTCCCTTGCTCTCAGCCTGGCATCAGAGACTGTTTCCCCAGCCTCATCCGACACAATTCTATGCTTCTGCTCCACCAAAATATCCTGGCAGCACCTCCTCCTGCTCCCCCGCTCTGCTTCTCTCCCCTTCTCTGCCTTTGCACGTGCTGTTCCCTCTGACTGAAATGTCCTTTCCCCCTTATTGGGCTGGCCAATGCTGCTTACCCCTTACCCTCAGCTCAGAGGCTCCAGAAAGCCTTCCCAGACTTGTCGGGCTGGGCTGCTGCTCCTGTGGGCTCCCTCAGCCCAGCACAGAGCAGGCCAGTGGGCGGTCTGAGAAGAGCTGTCAGGAAGCTGGCACCCCAGAGGGAGAGGCGCGGGGCACACGGACAGACTGTCACGTGCCTAACAGAGGGTGCAGTGGGCACTGGAGTAGCCCGAAGATGCAGCAGCTCGTCTGTGGGCAGCGGTGTCCATCCTGAACCTTGAGGATGAGGCAGTCAGTGTTTTCCAAGAACAGACCAGGGGTGACTTGGCTTGTTCCGAGGCCCAGAGGCCTGAGAGAGCAGTGCGTGCTCAGGGTAATGTTCAGGATAAACTGGCTTGTTCGGCATGGGCTGCATTCAGAGGGAAGGAGTGGGAGGTGAGCAGGAGAAATCCTTAGGGGCCAGGGCAAGAAGCTTGGACTCTCTGAGGGCACTGGGGAGCCATGGGAGGGCTGTGAGCAGGGCAGGAGCAAGGTCAGCTCTGGGGCTGTGCAGGGACAGACTGGAGTGGGGAGACTGAGGCTGGGGGGGAGGCTGGGGCGATACAGTAGGCGGGTTGGAGAGGAGGGGACAGGGCAGACAGAGTCAGGGCAGGAGGATGGGCCAAGGAATGACAGGCTGGTGAGGAGGGCCGAGGATGGTGCCAGGGGTCTGGCCTGTGACTGGGTAGATGGTGGAGTGGCCCCAGACATGGACCCCAGGGGAGGAGTAAGGAGTGGCCTGGGGGGTTGGGTGAGGGGAGACCCTGCACAGGTTGTGGCGAGGAGTGAAGGGAATTTCCAGGTGGCAGGTGGTGAGCCCTCCTCATGGAGAGGTCTGACTTCATCTGTGTGCCGTGTAATAGCATGACCCGCTCATTAAACATATAAGAATTCAACTCCACAAGCTTGGCAGAAACAGACACAAAACCCAATGTGTTTTTCATACCAGATAGTCCCTAATGCATGCAATTCCTACATCTTGCCTTCAGCTGTAGAAATGGCAATTCGTTCCAACACAGGGACATAAACCAACTGTGCTGGGCTCGTAAAAAGAGAGTATAGTCTGCACACAGCCGTGTCATCAGTACTGTGCGTGCCTTTTCAGTGATTTCAGGGGTGTGCTGACTTCAGAAGCACTTCACCTTAGATCTGGGTGTAGGATGGGCAACATCCTATGGGCAGAAGATCCTTATATTTAACAGGCGGCACCCAGCACGGGGTGTGGATGACTATTCAATAGTAGCTAATGTTTAAATGCTTGTTATGGGCCAGGCCCTGTGCCAACTGTTTTATTAACCGTGACTTCCTGAGCCCTTCTGTCACCTGTCTCGGTTTACGGACAGTGCTACCCTAGGACTTAGGTCTTAGCCCAGGGCTCACAGCTGGTAGGGGGCAGAGTTGGGACTGGCTCTCAGGACTTCAGGCTGCAGGACCCAGCAGCCTTGAGCTCATTTTGTGGCTGCATGAAGGAATCTGGGCCCCCAAAGGGCACCAGTAGGCTCTTGTTTCTCTCCTTAGGGACACCAAGGATGGGGAGAGGGGCCCAGGAGAGGAGGGGTCAAGGGTGGGGAAAGGGGCAGCCAATAGTTAGCTGGGGTTCAGACCTGTCCCTCCCTCCTTCTTCCCTCAGAGCAGCTCTATGAGTATTTGGTGTCTTTAGAAAGAGATCAGTATGATTTGCTCCCATGTAGCCAGCATCCAGCATCAACAATTAGCAATAATCAATCAGGTTTCACCTTGAAGACCCCCGCTGTCGCACCACTGGAGTATTTTGAAACAAATCCTAGACATCATCTGTAAATACTTTAGTATGTGTCTAAAAGATAAGGACTTAAAAAAAATCATTGTAACGAAACAGTTGCAAAGCAAAAACTCATATCGTCTGGAAATCCTTGCACAAATCTATTAATATGTGGCTCTGAAGGGCAAACCAGTGCAGCGGCTGCTAACAACTGTTGGCGGCCTCGGAGTCCCCGGGGCGAACGCGTGTGTGTGTTAAAAGAATACAAATACCCGGGCCCCAGTCCTGGGGACCTGAACTGAAGGGGTCTGGAGAGGCCCCGAGTTCGCGGGAAGGACCGGGCCAGCGTGAGGGACTGACGGGTGTGTGTATGGGCGGGGGCGTGGGGTCCGAGCGTGGCCCTGCCCCTCCCGGGTCGCGGAGCTGAGCCCGCCGGGCCGCTGTCCCACCTGCAGATGTTCGGACAGCGGCGCAGCGCGCAGGCGCTGGAGCTGGCGCACATGCTTTACTACCGCAGCACGTCCAACAACTCGGAGCTGCTCAGCGCCCTGGCCCTGCGCGCGCAGGACGAGCACGCCAAGGAGGCGCTGCTGGCGCACAGCTTCCTGGCCCGGCGGCCCCAGGGCGCGCGCCGCCCGCCCGAAGGTAGGACGCGGCCCTGGGGCCTCGCGCCAGGTGGCCCCGCCCCTCGAGGCCCCGCCCCGCCCATTGCAACCCCACCCGCAGAGTTCCCGCCCCTCTGAAGCCACGCCCAGAGAGGCCCGGTGCCCGTTCCTTTGCAGCCCGCTCCTAGAGTCCCCGCCCCTTTGCAACCCCGCCCAGAGAGCCTCGCCCCGTCTAGCTGCCGCCACGCCCTTAGAGTCCCTGCCCCTTTGCAGCCCCGCCCCTAGAGTCCCGGCCCTTTTGCAGCCCCGCCCAGAGAGGCCCCGCCCCATCCCTCTGTAGCCACACCCCTGGAGTCCCGGGACCTTTGCAGCC